CACACACACACACACACACACACACACACACACACACACACACACACACTGGAAGGAGGAGGAGTCTATGTCTATGACTTTCCACTTTGTGTCCAGTACAGACAGATGTGGCTCTGGCTTCTGCTCAGACAATTACTATGATGGCTTGCTCCTGGCTCTGAAGGACCCTAGACTCCAGGGCTGTCACCTGAAGTGTCTTTGGAACCCTGGACACACCTCAGACTAGGTCCTCAAAAACTGTGGGTCATCTGTCATAACGATGCACAGTTGTCAGCAAAATATGAGTGAGCCATGGAGCACCCGGCTGAGAGTTTCCTCCGCCCCACAGTTGCTGCAAGCGATCTGTCCCCACTCCAGCTCCTGTCTGAGGATGCCAGGGACAGACCCTGCCTGCTTTGGCTTCAGGCATGGTTTCTCACCCTCTTTACCAGCGACCTCGATTTATATCTTCTAGACATATCAGGTTGTCAAATCTACAATTGGACCGCTGATGCCTTTACAGTTTGTGGGTTATCACAGCCAGGGCTGTGCACCTGGCTATCTGTGATCTTCATGGCATCCCCATGCATTAAATAGCCCCAAACTTTCTCCTTCCTCACTGTCCCCTCTCTTCAGCCCCTCCCATCCCAATAACTCTAAGCTCTCCCTCCCCATTGAACAGTTCATTCTGTCACCTCTTTCTGCCTTTGGTGGGCATGAGCTGCCAAGTTTGACTTCCAGCTTTTCTCAGGCATGACTTTGTGACCTCAGGCAAGTCCCAAAAGGTGATTGTGCCCCAGTTTCCTCCCAAGTCAAAGGTGGGTGTGAGTGATGGTGGCTCACCATCGGCTTTCTCTGAGGAGGACGAGAGCACAGCCCTGTGAGTTGCTTCCAAGATTGAGAGAGTCTGTGATGTTTGTACAGACACAAACATTGGCACACAATACACTTATTGGTGAGCATTTATTTGGTTGCTAAAACCATGAAGGATATTCTCGCTAACCATGATTAAAAATGTTACTGCAACCTCTTGGCAGATGCAAAAAGAAGCTAGTTGCATGCATTCATCTTCTGGAAACTGAAAGATAGGGAGAAAAGAGGGGAGAAAGAAGCAGAGATGGAGGGAAGGGGGAAGAGGAAGAGATGGAAGGAGGAAGGAAGGAGGAGGGAGGGGAAAGCATGGAGGGAAAGAAAGCATCCGATTTTATCTGTCAAGATTATTGGCTCTAATCAACAGAAACTTTTAAATAAAGAAGAAGATGAAGCCAGTGGGCAACTTGCAGCAGCACTTACAAAGCTGGAGGGCCTGCTTGGAGGCCAGGTGGGAGCCTGGGAGGCATCAGTTCCATCTCAGTTCAGAGCAGCTTCGTTGCTTGTCTGCTGGGCCCCTGCTACAGTGCCAGGCATCCAAACTCAAAGCATCGCCGGCACTGCTGTCTCAGCTGTCCTTGGAAATCAGCCGCTGCTGCCGCCACCACTGCCACGGGCTGCTGCCACAATCAATCCTCCCCTCTCCCTCCCTCCTCACACAAAGGTCAGGATAAGTGCATCCGATTAACTGTGTGCCCATGAACTGGGTGTGAGGAAGGCTGATAAGGCAGGAATCTGCATTGGAGGTTCTTGGGAAGAAGGTGAGCTTTGTATCTTCCACTGGTGGGAGCGTTCCTAAAATATGTAAAAGGAGTAAAGTTCCGGGGAGGCCCCTCATCCCCATGAGAGATTTCTCTCTGTGTGGAGATACACATAGTTTTCCACAGCCGCACACCGGAAACCACTCAACCCTGCTTGTTCGAAAGACTCACACTCGGAATTTGTTTGAATTAAGCCTGGTCAGATACAGACTTGAGAACGACCACCATAAGACAGTTTACACCCACAGATTCCTGCACACTAGAGGCACAGTGTGCCACCTGGATCAGCACAGGAGGGTGTCAGAGCAAGCAGGAGGAAGGGGGTGCAAAGGAGAAAGCCCGTGTTTGCAAGCACCTCCCACCCTGTTATAGATAGGTTTAGGTTCAGAGGGGGACTTGTTTGCTTTCTGTTTGTGTTTGTTTAATGAGACAATATCTCACTATGTAGCCCTGCATGACCTAAAACTCACAGAGATCTGTCTGCCTTCCCTCTGCTTCTGGGGTGTTGGGGTTAAAGGTGAGGGCCTGGTTTCCTGGAAGGCTTTAACTGTTATCGTCACACAAACTAAAATGATCTGGGAAGAGAGTCTCACTTGCAAGATTGCCTGCATCAGATAGGCTTCGTGTGTGTACGTGTGTGTGTGTGTCTGTCTGTCTGTGTTGAAGGAGTGTCTTGATTGTTCATTGATGTAGGAGGGTCCACTCAACTGTAGGTGGTACCATATCCCAGGCAGGTGGTGGGAATGAACTGCATATTAAAAAAAAAGCTAACAGTGTGAGCCTGCCCCAGCCAGCAGGCAGCATCAGCTGTGTGTCTGCAGTCTGTCTATGGCTGTGAAGCCCAGACGTAATGGAAGAAAATATTGAACTCCAACAAACATCCCTCAGACAAACAAAGTGCTCATTCTAACCTTGGGGTACATTTTAGGAGGACAGTGGACTAGGTGGTAGCCACAATGGCATCCACGGCACAGGGCAACATGCTACAGGATCTCCACTCAGGAGACACACTACTTAATTAGGGTGAGTTTTGATACAGTTTCTTGAAAGCCATTTATGCCCTGTGAACAGTTACATGACTTCAGCCATGCAGACCAAGGCCATGCAAACCAAGCCATGCAGACCAGAGCTATACAGACCAGGGTTATCAGACCAGAGCCATGCAAATCAGATCCACGCAGACCAGGGCCACGCAGATCATAGCCATCAGAGCAGAGCCATGCAGACCAGAGTCACACAAATCAGAGCCATGCAGACCAGAGTAATGCAAGCCAGAACCATGCAAACCAAAGCCATGCAGACCAGAGCCATGCAGACCAGAGCCATGCAGACCAGAGCCATGCAGACCAGAGCCATGCAGATCAGAGCCATGTAGACCAGAAAATGCAGACTAGAGTCATGCAGACCAGAGTCACACAAATCAGAGCAATGCAGACTAGGGCCATGCAGATCAGAGTAATGCAAACCAGAGCCATGCAGATCAGATACAAGCACACCAGCATCATGCTGCAGGCCAGGTCCATGAAGACCAGATTCATGTAGACCAGACCCATGCAGACCAGAGCCATGCAAACCAGGGCCATGCAGATCAAAGGCACATAATCAGGGCCATTAGTCCTAGGTCCAGTGCCAACTTTCCCAATTCAAATAAGAACAGTCTTGAATGAATAAACTCACAGCATTCCAAAGCTAAAAGTGTTTATATAAAAACAGGGCCTTGTTTGTGTATATTCCCCCAAATGAGTATTGGTTTCTTCTTCCAGTTTGTTATTATTAATGATCTTCTCTCCATAAAATTTTCATTCCCTCAGGGTCCTATACTGTTCTAGATGGGTCATAACCCTAGTGACCCCAAGGACATGGAATAGGCTTACTCAACACTTTGAGTGAGAAGGAATTCATCCCAAGGTCTTCCATTAGCAGACTGAGGACTCTAACAAGTTATATACTGTGAAATCTCCTCTTAATCAGACTTCTGTTACTGCGATGAAATACCCGAGGAAAGCAACATCTAAGAATCAAGGTTAATCTTGATCCACAACCAGTCCCTGGTTGGTTAGTTGGCTTTGTTGCTCTGGAGCCTGTGGTGTAGAAAACTGCTCACCTCATGGAGTCTGAGAGGCAAAGAGAAAAGCAGGAAGAGCCCATGGTCCAATAGCCCTCAATGGGTGCACCCCAGCCACCTAATTCCCTTCTACTAGGCTCTACTTTTCAAAAATCTTCACCCCTTCTTAGGACCCCCCTCCCTACCCCCAGGCTGAGGACCATGGTTTTACAGTATGGACCTGGATGGAACACTTACGCAGAACATAGCATTCCCTTAGTTCAAACCTCAACACCCGAAGTCCAAAGCGTTTCTCACAGCCCCAGTGGTGACCAGGATGCCTCTTAGCCTTGGGAGAGAAAGCCCCTCCGGGCTCTTTCTGTGTCAGCAGAGAGGGGAGCAGACTTTACAAACAGAAAGTTAGTCTTCCGTCACTGTACAACCTACTGCTATTGTCTCTCCACAAAAACCTTCAGCACCACGTCTGGTCATGTGTGCACATGTGCGCATGCCACAGCACTCATGTAGGGATCAGAGGACAACTTTCAGGAGTCTATTTCACCATGGGGTCCCAGATATTGAACTCAGGAAGTCCGGTTTAACAGCAAGCCCCTTTATCAGCTGAGCCATCTTACCAGCCGCATACATAACATAGATGTTCAAACATACAGACTAACCCCCAAAGCTTTAGAAAACACACCCATTGTTCCCTAAATACCAGAAAAACGTTCCTGGTCTGAAAGCACAGGAATCGATGTACATACACACTCACCAGACCATGGGCAGAAGCAAGCAAAATCCTGTAGATTCGGGGGCTATTGAGTGCCACCTCTTTAGACCCTGTTTGCAGGGGCGTGAGAGGATCTGATGACTGCTCAGGCCTGGAGGCAGGAAGGAATGGTGAGTGGGAAGATGGTTATGGGTTCTTCAGCCAGGGCAGCTAGAAGCAGCTTTCAGCGTCAAACTCCATTCTTCACAGCAATTTTCCTAGAACTGACATCTTGTTTCTCCTCGGTCAGAGCTGGGAACTCAACTAATGCAACAAGGGAGCAAGTCCTGGGATCGAAATGCAGTTGAAATGCATTTCTCCTTTCCAAGTGTCCTTTCGCTGCGTTTCTCCAAACAGTTCCCTTTCAATGCTAAAACTTCAAGAGTAAGATCTGTCTTTGTTGGCCATGACAGAATATTCATGTGGATTCATGGAAGCTTGGAGAATTGAACTCAGAAACCACGCAAAAGTAATAGACACAGCCCAGATTGGCACATAGGACCAGTCCCACCTCAAAAATATTCAGATTAAAAGTCTCCCTACAGGTATATTCAGGCACTTAGGTTTCAGATGTAGTCAAGTTGACAACCAAGAAGAACATCACTGTCCGTGTGTGTGTGTGTGTGTGTTCTTGTTCTCTGAGTGTGTGTGTATATGTCTGTCTGTCTCTGTGTCTCTCTTTGTGTCTGTCTTTTGTGTGTGTGTGTGTCTGTCTGTCTATATGTCTCTGTGTCTGTTTGTCTCTCTGAATCTCTACCTGTCTCTGTTTCAGTCTGCATGTGTGTTTCCAGCTTGTTGTCTTTTGTGTGTGTGTGTGTGTCTGCCTGTCTGTCTATATGTCTCTGTGTCTGTCTCTCTGAATCCCTACCTGTCTCTGTCTCAGTGTGCATGTGTGTTTCCTGCTTGTTTCTTTATCTTGCAACTCAGCGTCTCCTGTAATGCAGGTTAGTCTTGAACTTGGTTTGTAGCTGAGGCTGATATTGAACCCTGGAACCTTCTGCTTCTGCGTCCAGAATGCTGGGATTACAGACATGCAGGACAATACCCAGTTCATATTGTCTTCTCTTCTTGTCTTTGGGCCCAGGTGCATCTCACATCTTTCTCCAATACTCCACTGCAAGTGCTCCCAAAAGGTCATTTCTGTTCAAAGGGCAACATCCTTCATCATCCACTTTCTGCTTCTTAAGTGTGAATCTCAGAAAATACAAACTGTCCCAAGAAAGACCGGAGGCAAGAGGAAGAAGTGCCAGAAAGGACCACACAATCAACCTGTCTCCTGCCATCTGCCTGGCAGCCGCAAGAGCAAAGGAAGACTTCAATTCCCCATTGCAGTAAGGGAGACAGTTTTTCACAACAGTCATGGACTAAACGGTGGATTTGTTAATTGAACTCCTTAATGGGTGAGGTTTCTGTTTTCCCTCTTAACTAGAGAGAACCCTGGGTCAAGGGGAGGAAGTGTCCCGAAACCTCCCAGAGGTCCAGCTCACTTTTACGTTATTTCAAATACAACGTACAAAGGGGAACCACACTCTAATTATTTCTTCTAAGCCACAAAAAAGTATTCTGGGTTGGCACACTGTGACTGGAGGGTTGTATCGTTTTCTTGGGACACTGCTTGGAGAAGCAGGCGGAGGGAAAGGGTTTGCAAAGATGTGTGCGGCATTTAGAGAAGGGATGTCAATCGGGACAGAATACTGAAGGAGAGAATGGTTACAATGTCCCCCTCTTCCTTCCTCTCTCTCTCTCTCCTATCAAGATCAACCCTCTCTCCCCATATCAAGCCTGACTAAGAAAGGTCAAAGCCTGAGAATCGGGGGGGGGGGGGGGGGCCCGGTCTTGGTAGTTTAGCTGGGAGTCTTACACACACACGGGCTCCTAGGCAGGAGGTAGTGGCTAGGATCAGATCTGACACTTGGGTGGAACTTCCAGTTGGCCGCTCCAGTCTGGATCGGGTGAGTAGGCAGGGCTCCGTCGGTAGTGGGCGTGGTATGGCGTGGTGGGGCGTGGCGGGGGCTGTGCTGAGCCTGGCAGACTCTGATCTTAGGTCCCACAAGCCACTCTCTCCAGAGAAAGGCCTCAGCCTTCTAGCTCCGTTGCTTAGTCCTGCAGCTCAGGCCACCATGGCGCTGCGTGTGGCAGCGTTCGACCTTGACGGAGTGCTGGCCCTTCCCTCTCTCGCTGGCGCCCTCCGCCGCACCGAGGAGGCTCTGGCGCTGCCCAGGTAAGGGAACCCGCGCTCGGTCTGTGTCACACACAAGTGGGCAGTCCCCAGCCGCCGGTGTCCTGCCCACACATCCAGCCCAGGTTTCAAATTGCTTTCCTGGTGAGCCCGGGCAAGATCAAAATCATCATCTGGTACTAAATACCAGTGTGCACGAGTTGATCCATTGCCCTTCTAAATGCTAAGTAAGACTTGTTAAAAACTTCAAAATTGCCCTTTGCAAAAGGAGGCAATACTAAACTATTTGCTACCGGGTTAATTCTATTGAACTGCATCTTTAAAATGTCCGCTGAAACTTACAAGAAAGTTCTGTCCAAAGGCCAGCATTTCAGGAGAACCAGCGCAACAGCAATTTAGAGAAATGGCCCCCAGCCCGAGGAAGTGAGGAGCTGGGAGGTAGTCGCTGACACCGAAAGTAATGGCTCTGTTTCAGATGGCGGAGAGAGGGAGGAAGCTGGGGCCTGTAGAAAAAAAAAATGTCTGGAAAAAATATATCAAAATATCCAGACAAGCTGCTGGAGGGTAGGCTGCAGTTAAGAATCTTTGATTTTTGGCAACCATGTCAGATGGCACCAGGGGATCTGACGCCCCCTTCAGGCCTCCTAGGGTGTCTGTACTCACAGATGCAGATACAAACATACATACTATAAAAAGTAATAAAAATAAATATTTTAAAGATCCAGACGTTACTAATTTACGTGAGCTCATGAATGATTTCCCCTCTATGTTTCTCTTTCCATTCACAAGCGTTTTATAAGCAGAAAGGAGGAAAGCGTATTTATTTTTTAAAAATTAAAAAGGATGAAAGGTCTCTCTGGTAGGACTCAAGGGAAAGAAGGAAGGGGTAATTCCGAATTACCCTTGAGAGGAAGAGATGTAGTGGCAGCTTGTGATCTGGAGATCTGCCTCATTTGATGATCCCAGAATTCTTATGACACCAACAGGGCTTATCTGTTATACTATGTAAATCATGTAAGCCAACCCAAAGGAGGAGCAATGCCTAGAACAGCAGTTCTCAACCTGTGGGTCACGACCATTGAAAAACACATATTTCTGAGGGTCTTAGGAACTGAGACACTGCTCAGTAGCAAAATTCCAGGTATGAAGTAGCAACAAAAATAATTTTATGGTTAGGGGTCACCACCGCATGAAGAGCTGTATTAAAGGGTTGCAGCATTAAGAAGGTTGAGAACCATTGATCTAGAAGCAGGTACCTCCTCAGATGCAGAGACTGGGGTGTGGCGGGGAGATTTTCTCGGTGACTCTGAGAGCAGTATTCCTTCACCCAGTGCAGGTTCCTCCCTCTCTGCCTCCCTGTGCCTTTGTGTCTCCCTTGGCTGCCCTTTTAGAAATGCATCTGTCCAGGGCAAATACACAGAATGCACCAGCGGCTGAGAAGCAAACACAAACAAGAGACTACAAAGTCCACCATCAGGTGGCCACACTGCATGCAGTTAAGTAGAATTTGACAGAGAACAATATTTGAAAATGAAAAACCTCCAAGCTGCGCTTGCCCAATAGGAGTTATGAGAGAGGAATGATTAGTTTGCTTCCAAAAAGTTTGTGCGTGGGTGGGTGTCCCCATTTATATGTGAGGGGATGGATGGATGCTTTGTGTGTGTGGGCGCACAGATGTGTGCTTGCTTAACCTGTCTTTCTAGTCATCTATCCTAAGAGACAGTCCCTTTTCTTAGGAATCTTGAGTGAAGATGAAATTAGCTTCTATGGAAAGTGGATGGGCACCTGTGTTTTTGATACATGCCTTTATTTACAGAAGTTCTCCATGTCTGCAGTGATGCACTGAGCAATACCACTGGATGGCGCCCTCACACAGTCCCTTTGTAACCGTGGTTAGGGTTGTTCTGGGGTGCCATCGAATAGGTTACGACAAAACTAGCCGCACGCGGGAGGTCAGAGTGCAAGCGTTGCGTTTGTTTACCCATCAGATGTGTGAGCTAATCATGTAGGTTTCAGAAAACGAAGAAAAAGCGTCTTCCATGCACTGGGTATTTTCAGCATACTTGCCAGCAGATGTAACAACTCATCCCACACAGGCCACCAAAGCTCATGCTAGCAGCCGTGCCCTGCGAAGTACCAAGTTCTTGGAAATTTTCTTGTGTCTCTTATTGTGTTTTGTTTATGCTGTATATTGTGGGTGTTTTGTCTGTGCGTATACCTCTGTACTATGTGCGTGCCTGGTGTCCCTGGGGGCCAGAAGAGGGCATCAGAACCTTTTGAACTGGAGGCCCAGATGGGACTGAACCACCATGTGGGTGCTGAGACGCTAACCCAGATCCTCTGGATGAGCAGCTGATGCTCTCTAGCCCCTCTTGCATCTCTTGATTCACCAGTTTCATTTTCTGTCATGACCCTTCACTATTCACTACCTTGATGAGGCATTCTGTCTGTCTATTTGTTTGTTTGTTTTTGTTGTTCTTTTGTTTTTTGAAACAGGGTTTCTCTGTAACTTTTGAGCCTGTCCCACAACTCTCTCTGTAGACCAGGCTGTCCTGAACTCACAGAAATCCACCTGCCTATGCCTTCTGAGTGCTGGGATTAAAGGCATGTGCCACCACCGCAATCTTAAAATACAGTGCTCAGGGGCCGACGAGATGACTGAGCTGACCGAGGTGCTCGCCACCAAGCACATCCTGAATTCCATCCCCAGGACCCACGTGGTGGAGGGAGAGAACTGACTCCCTCGGGTTGCCCTCTGTTCCATACATGTGCACTGTGGCATGTGTGTGCAAGTGTCCACACATATGCATAAATAAATAAAATAAAAAATTGTGCTCATGTTTTCCAATGGTAAGAATGGTCTTGTTTTGTCAAATTGCTTCTACTTCAAAAATAAGGCCTCCTTGCTCTTGCTGTATGAATGCAGCAATGTCCTCTTGCAGTCACACTATTCCTGTGTCTTCTTCTTTAGGCAATCCCCGATTTTCAGGCAGAAGTCATTTTAGTTTCTTCTTCTTGCTCATATAATACAGCTATCTGCTTACCTGTCACTGTGAGTTCCCTAAAGATGGGCTCATTATTTCCCCCATCTTCTACATCACAGGTAACACACAGCCTTGCACATCGTAGGTGTCTAATAAAAGCTTGTGGCACCTAACTGCACTCTGATTCTTCAGCGCAGCTGCTAAAGGGTCTGGGGAATCTCACTGAGGAGACGGCCGTGCTATGTCGCAGGAGTGAGGTGGCATTTGCATCGCTCTGACTTTACTATGAATTATCGAATAACATGTTGAAAACATGTAAATTTGGTGTCACTTGTACCTTAATAAGATTGTTCAGAAAATACTGATGTCAAAAGCACAGCAGAAACCACTGCTATTACGAGGAAGCTGGACAAGGCCTGTATAGATCTCAGGTACACGTCTTTTATAAATACTCAGCGGTGATGATTTTACCTGAAAGAGGGTTAATCTGCTTTTAAAAAAATACTCCACTATAATCAGAAACGAAATTCCCAAGTAGGAGATAATCATTCTCATTCTTGGGGATGGTAAATATCTGCACAGGGCTTGGCAGTTGCAACTGATAACCGGCGAGGTATGTCCATTAAGCAGGGCTGCCAACAGTACAGACTGGCTGGGTTAGTAGAAGAGCATTCTGGAAGGGTAGAAGGCCAAGACCAAGGTTTCAGAAAAGTTGATCTTCTAGTTGCTTTTCTTTTGCTGTGATAAACACCATGGCAACCAGCAACTTGGGGAGAAAAGGGCTTATTTGGCTTACAAGTTACAGCTCCTCACCTAGGAGAGTCAGAACAAGAACTCAAAGCTGGAGCTTGGAGATAGGAACTGGCGCACAAACAATGGGGGAATGGTGCTCACTGGCTTGCTATTCTTGACTTTCTCAACTGCTGTTGTTATTCAACCCAGGGATGGTCTTCCCACAGTGGGCTGGACTCTCACACTTCAATCATTAATCAAGAAAATGTTCCACAGACCTGGCAACAGGTCAGTCTGATGGAGACAACTCCTCGACTGAAATGTTCTCTACCCAGACATGTCTAGATCTGTGCCAATTTGGCAAAAACGAATTATGACAGTGTAGTCTACCCCATGTTGACACACAAGCATATCTCTTTGAGTAATACCCACTGTGTGGCTTGTCACCAAGATCTCCGTGTTAATAAGAAAATGTAGTCTGGCTTTTAAAAGCCCCACAGACTTTCAAATTTTCAACGCTTAAAAGTTCAAGATCTTTTTAAAAATCAAGAGATTCTTAACTGTGAGCTCCTATAAAATTAAAAGCAAGCTACATACGTTCTTATTCCAAGAGAGAAAAACTAGAGTACAGTATAATCAGATCAAAGAATTCACAAACTCCAGCAGTGTAAACAGTTCAGTCTCTGACATCTGGGACTCACTCATGATCTGCTGGTCTCCTATGGGTTTAAACACTCTTCTTCCCCAGTGCTGCAGATGCAGCACACACAGTTTGTCTCATAGGCTCAGGTTGGCTCCACTACACACCATCAATCACTGTCCTAGGTAGGTGTAGCCTGGTCCAGGTACTTCTAATATGCTGGCGCCTCTACTACAATAGAGGCTGGTCTCCCTGCTGACCCTGCCACACAGTACTGAGGCTCAGTTGTTGCCCATGGCCCCTTTAATCCAGCAGCTTTTATGTCATCAAAACTAATACCATCTGGGAGACTCTTACGCATTGCCAAGCTTGGTTGCCAATGTGAGATGCAGCCTTGCCCTTCCCTGCCCCCAGTAAAAGCTTCTGAGTACTGACCCTGATGAAATACCTCCCAGAAGATTTAACCTCAGTGATTCTGGTCTCCTGTTAATCACATCTGATTCTTCAGCCCTAACTGACCAGAAACCACAGATTCTTAATCCAAAATGTCATACTATATTTGTGACAGTTGGTTCTCTCCAGCAAATCTGTCCTTGACTTGAAGCTAGCACCATTGTGCTCTGTGTGTGTCTGTGTCTAAATAACCTCTTTTTATTAGAATACCAATTGTGTTAAATTAGGACCTCATTAACTTCAGTATCACTTTAAAGATTCCATCTCCAAATATAGCCCCATTGTGAAGTACCAGAAGGTAAAACTTCAGCATGGGAATTTTGAAGGTGAGCTACTTCAGACCTTAACACAGGAAATATTTTTAGAAATGAGAGATTAAGACAAAATGGAAACTATATGTACATAATAAATTCCAAGAAAAAAAATTGTTCCTTTTGGAAAATGTGAGCTAAGGATGGCTTCACGTGGACAAACTTGACCTTGGCTTACATCTTCCTGTCTTTCTGACAACAGTTTGTCTGTGAATGTAAATGGCAGCTGGTGATGGTGATATTCTTTGTGTCTTCCAGAGGCTTCCTGATAGATGCCTTCCAGAAGGAATACCCAGGGGGGCACAATGAGCAACTCATGAGAGGGAAGATCACTTTCTCCCAGGTGAGGGCACGCTGTGTGGACCCTTTTGGGGGGCTCTATACTTTATTGCATTTCCACCCTGGCCTTCAACTCACCATGGGCAAGATCATGCTTTCTTAAGTCACCCACACACAACCCCCTATAACTTACAAAACAGCAAGACACTGGACAGTGTGTTTCGGACTGCACTGTACTCTGCCTGGGCCAACCTGAGGAACATTTCAAGCCCTGAGGAACTGTGACAGGAAACTTGGCAACAAGACGGAGCCACTGAACCATTAACTTAATAACTATAGAGCAGGAGACTTTGGAGTCAGCGACTGGGTTTGAATCTATAGGCCCTACTTACATGTCAAGACCACAGCAAGCTACTTAACTTCTCGAAACCTCTATTGCGTTATCAGTAAGATGCGTGATGATACCACCCATGCCCAAGTGGTTGTGAAACCTGAGAATGCTTAGTGCAGAGTGTTTCTCTCAGTCAGTGCTCAGTAAAAGAGCTGGTCCTGGTACTAAATTCTCAGTCACTTTATAATAAGATAGAGTCTCAATGTGTGTGTCTATAAAGAATCTGTTTACAAACCCACAGGTTTTTTAAATTGCCTTTTTGAAAAACTATATTACTATAGACAATTATTATCTGATCAGAGAATTTCGGGACCACTTTGTTAAAAAGAGAGATCATAAGAGACAGAGGACCAAGGAGTTTGCTGCAAGATAGTGTCTTCCATATATGACAGGGAAGCTGCAGCCATGAAATCTCAATATAAACCTGCCTAAACAAGACCATCGCAATGCGATTATCAGTTAATATGCCAACATGGATGAGGAAAATCTCACAAGACCGCACCCCTAGATGAAGACTATAGACAATTAATGGTTGCTGAACAAGGGAGAATCAGTTTTCTCTAGTGAAGATAGTCAGGGGATAGATTATCTGATCCCTATGGTTAGCCCTAAACATACACACACACACACACACACACACACACACACACACACATGCACACAAATATACATATGCATACATGCACACACACATACACAAGCACATAAATTAGAGGGAACAGAAGAAACATAGGAAGAGTTGGAGGAGTGAGGGGGAGGGGTGGAAATGCTGTGAATACAGTACCCTGAGATGAAATTTTCGAAATAAGATAATTGAATTTAAAAAGGACACAGAGCATTATGAAAACCCCATGATGAAATCCATTACTTTGTGTGCCTACTTTCAAATTAATAAAAACAGAGAAAGAACAAAAAAAGAAAGAAAGAGAGAGAGAGAGAGAGAGAGAGAGAGAGAGAAAGGGCTCACACTATGTGATATTGCTGAGAATATTGTAGTCATTTTATCATACATGCACTTACATGCACACGCACACACACCATAACAAACAGTGAAGAACAGTTGTGCCAATGAAGAACAACTATCTCTGAAGCTTTGTCCAATGCAAACACCTTCAGCAGCACTGTTCAGAATAAGGAGGGGAATGCTGTGTATCTTCCGTGACATGGGATGGTTTGGGGTCAATTTCCAGCAAGCAGTATGACGTACACCTGCTTCAGACTTCCTGAGCCATTTCTGCTCATCTAGAAACTCACAGGGCTAGAAGTCTGAGAAACTGAATTATACCCAGACAAAGATGCCTAAAGCTTGAATTGTCCTTTAAAAAATTATCTTTGACGGGGCGGTGGTGGCATACGCCTTTAATCCCAGCACTCGGGAGGCAGAGGCAGGTGGTTCTCTGTGAGTTTGAGGCCAGCATGGTCTACAAGAGCTAGTTCTAGGGCAGGCTCCAAAGCTACAGAGAAACCCTGTCTTGAAAAACCAAAAAAAAAAAAAAATTTGAACGTTGTTCTACTTTGCTTTTTATTACTGGGATAAACACCTTGACCAAAAGCGACTCGGGGAGGAAAGGGTTTATTTGGCTTACAGGTCACAGCCCTTCACTGAGAAAAGTCAGGGCAGAAACATAGCTAGGTACCTGGAGGTAGAAACAGAAGCAGAGACCATGAAGGGCTGCTACTTACTGGCTTATTCTCCGGGCTTACACCAGCTCTACCTGTCTTGTAGCACCTAGGGCCACCCGCCCAGAGGTGGCACTGGCTGAGGTGGGCAGAACCCTCTCAGATCAATCATTAATCAAAAATATGTCCCACAGATTTGCCCACAGGCCAGCTTGATGGAGGGATTTTCTTACTGAGGTTTCCCCACTTCCCAGATGACCTAGTTTGTCTTAAGTTGACAAAAAAAAAACCAAAAAAAAAAAACCAATGTGGAAGTGAGCTTGGACTCTTCACTCCATTTATGTGCAGGATGGAAACAGAAGGGTGCACACAATGTAGCTCTGGCCAAGATTTCCAAACTGAACACACTCATACTTTGGCACCAGGTCAAAACACATGGGGATCATAGTGGGACCCTCCCTCTATGTTCCTGTGGACACGACCTTTCCACAACCAACTGCTGCTTCAGTCCTAACCTCCATCGTTCTTGCCTGTGCTAGCATTTGGACAAAGGGAACTTTGCTTTTTGGCTATTCTGCTTGGCTTTGTGTATGTGGTGTTCATTAGCTTTATGTTGCTAGAATAAAATATTGGAGGCAATTAACTTACAAAGGAAAATATTTATTTATCTCACAGATAAGAGTCCAGTCCAAGACTGGACAGCTCCATAGTGCTGGGCATCTGGTTTAGGCTGAACAGCTAATGGACCAGTTAGAAGGAGAGAGAGGGTGGGCAGCTGCCATACTACTGTCCTTAACATATGTTCCCAATCACATAAGGACCTCTCCACCCCCATATCTCCCAAAGGCTCCAATAATGCAGCCCTTTGGATCAAACTTGGAGGCTAGTACTGCTATTAAATGATAGCATCACGGCCTCTTTTGATCCCTTTCTCTAAGGATGGACATCTTATTGAGTTAGAATTCATCCTAATGACCTTATTTTACCTAAACCTCATCTTCAAAGCCCTTGTCCCCAAAAGTCATGTTCTAAAATTCAAGGACTTCAATGTTCCAGTTTTGAGGGGACATTGTTCGTTCAGATCATATCAGTAGTCATGAATGTAGTTTCTCTTTGAAGGCTGGCTGTTATCTTAATGTCTGTGACCTGTAGCAGGCTTTCTTTTGGATCACTAACCAGCTCCCAGATCATCACATGGAGACTTATTATTAGTTATGAATGCTTGACCTAGCTTAGGCTTATTTCTGGCTAGTTCTTTTAACTTAAATTAGCCGATTTCTCTTTATCTACCTTTCACCTCAGGTCTTTGCTTTATGTCTTACTTCCCTTTTTTCTCCAGTGTCTGGCTGGTTGGCAGATGTCTGGTTTCTGGCCCCAGGCATGTCCCTCTCTTTCTCCCTCATTCTCCTCCTCCTCCTCCTCCTCCTCCTCCTCCTCCTCCTCCTCCTCCTCTTCTTCTTCTTCTTCTTCTTCTTCTTCTTCTTTTAGGTATTTTAACTACTGTATTTTCTTGGACAAAACCAAAACACTTTTACAAGAAACATGGATTAGACATATATGTTTGTCCTTTAAGCCAGTCCTTGCGATCGTCAAAAGCAGATCAATAGCACCATTGGTTTAAACAGACATTTAGCATCAATGTATTGAACCTTGACCTTAGAAATGTTAATGTGTGTGTGTACTCTCTAAGTCTCATCTTTTACAAACTTTGAATAACTTAGGCAGACCTTCATAACGTGCGTAGACTTCCTGGTTTTCTCTTTCATTCTGGAAACATCCAGCCATCTTAATCTTTACGCATAACCCTTGCTTCACTAATGCTTGCATCCTCCAACATTTTCCTTCACTTACCAGTCTTCTTTCTCACACCAGAAGATGCAATAATGTTAATAGATTTACCCCCTGTTGTGAGAATTTTTTCTCTGCAAGTCCTAAGGTCCTAATAACAAACCAAAGTTCACCCTGGGGGACTGAAGGGTTAATAGGGCTTTCTTGCAGGGCATGGCTGAGGGGTTCTGCAGGAGTGTGGGAGACATGAAGCCACACTGGAAAGTTTTCTCTCAGTGTAGAAAATGGTGTCCCCACAGCTGTGCAGGTGCCACCCTCTATCCCCAGTCTTCCCAGCCTTTAAACTCTAGCTTCCCTCAGACCTCAAAGTCAGGTACCCTTAGGGCCGAACTGCATGCAGCAGGCTGGGAGGAGGGGCTGGATGCTCAGCGAGGGTCCAGTGACCCTGCCCACACCCTCCTCCTATGAAGGACCATCAGTAGTTAACAGGTCCAGCTGTGACAATCTTTTTAAAAATGTATTTAATTTTTTTCTTATTTATTTATTTATTTAAAGAATTTCCACTTCCTCCCCTCCTCCCAATACCCTCCCGCTCCCCCCACTCCCTCTCCTCCTCCCTCACCATTCCCAAGAGCAGTCAGGGTTTCCTGCCCTGTGGGAAATCCAAGTTCCTCCCCCCTCCCTCCAGGTCCAGGAAGGTGAGCATCCAAACAGACCAGGATCCCAAAAAGCCAGTACATGCAGACGAAACAAGACCCAGTGCCACTGTCAATGGCTTCTCAGTCAGCCCCCATGTCAGCCACATTCAGAGAATCCGGTTTGATCACATGCTCGTTCAGTCCCAGTCCAGCTGGCCTTGGTGAGCTCTCATTCGATCGGTCCCCTTGTATCAGTGGGTGAACGCACCCTTCGCGGTCCTGACTTCCTTTTTCATGTTCTCCTTCCTTCTGCTCTTCATTTGGACCTTGGGGGCTCAGTCCAGTGCTCCAATGTGGGTCTCCGTCTCTATCTCCATCCATCGTTGGATGAAAGTTCCCTCTGGTTCTGCCTTCCTTGCTCCCTCCCTGTGCTTCTCATTTGGACCTAGGGAGTTAAGTCCAGTGTTCCAATATGTGTCTCCGTCTCTATCTCCTTTCTTCGCCATATGAAGGTTCTGTGGTGACATGCAAAATATTCATCAGTATGGTTATGGGCCAAGGCCAGTTCAGGCACCCTCTCCTCTGCTGCCCAGGGAACAATCTGGGAACCTCTCCTTGGGCCTGGGAACCCCTCCAGAATCAAGTCTCTTGCAAACCCTAAAATGGCTCCCTTAGTTGAGATATAAACTTCCCTGCTCCCATAACCATCCTTCCTCCCTACCCCCTTCCCATTCCCCCAAGCCATCCCCAATCCTCCCCCTCATTCTCTTCTTCTTCTTCTTCTTCTTCTTCTTCTTCTTCTTCTTCTTCTTCTTCTTCTTCTTCTTCTTCTTCTTCTTCTTCTTCTTCTTCTTCTTCTCTCTATCTCTCTTGAAACTAGATTTCTCCTTCTACTTGTTCTGACACATATCCCTCTCTTGCATAGCTGTTGGCCAGTCTGACCTTAACTAGAACACCCTTCCTTACAGGCTTCTACTCAAAAGGCCTAATTATTGAAGATACCAACATCTGCTATACCAACGCCTGAGCCCTCTTAATTACACTGGTAGCCACCTCAATAACAGTCGCTTTTTATTAAGCCAAGCAGGCGCCTTAGGCAGGCAAGGTGAAGAAACAGCTTGTCTTTTCATAATTAAGTAACTGCAGCATAAACAATTATAACACACCTTTGCCTACTTAACATTTATTTCACAACATTCTCCCATTCGTATGGTAAGCTTCTGACCACTAGCAGGAAGTAACTAAGTCAGGAGAGTACAGCCCTTCAGGAAGAGATTGGAAAAGGGACCCTAGAGGATTACTTAGGTCCTTCTCCCTTGAGCAAAGTGAGCGGGCAGCACCGTGTATGAAACAGACACCATTCTGTCTGCATCTTGACTTTGACCATCACAGACTTCAGAATTGGCGGGGGGGGGGATAGGAATTTAGCCTGCCTCTGAGCCCCCCAGCCTCTGCAATTCCAGTGCAGCTCACCTTTGTCCTTTCTCTCGGGGAGCTTGCTCCCAGGATTGGAACTCACACATTTGAACTTCGTGGTGCTGCCGAGCCTTCTCCAAGGCTGCAACCACTGACCCTGCTCCCTCCCACATCTGTGTGCTTTACAGTGGGCACCACTCATGGAAGAGAGCTGCAGGAAGCGCTCCAGCACCTCCGGAATCAGCCTACCTGAGGATTTCTCCATAAGTCAAATATTCAATCAAGCCATGGCAGCAAGAAGCATCAACCGCCCCATGCTCCAGGCAGCAATTACTCTCAGAAAGAAAGGTAAGAGACTCTATGCTGCCCATTCTGTGCATAGCCTCACTGCACCAGAGCCCTGGGAAAGCTGAGGTCGGGACACAGCTAAGTATGTCTCAAGGCCACAGAGCTGACACACCCGTAAAGCAAGCCTCCAGAACCAGCTTTACTACATGAGAAAACTTTTACTAACTAGCTTACTGTTAGGATCCCTGGGAAATAATATAATTTTATATAATAAACAATGATCAGTAACTGTTTTACGAACAAAATTCTATCCTTTCGTTGTTACTAATTAGTATCAATAATTATCCAAGTGACCAAACTTCTGCCACAGATTTTAAAATGAGGCTTTTAAGCAACTCTGATTTTTCCAGTCTTTGGGTGTCAGAGTAGTGCTATGAACTGGTGTGAGTTGAGGCGATGTCATGTGGTCTAAGATGCGAAGTCACACCCATGCATAGGCAGGCGTTTTATTGTAGTGCCTGCGTCTTCTTCGTGAGCATCAATGAAACTATTGCATCAGACTTATGTCTTTGTGGTCAAGACATCTGACTCAGTCCATCTGTGCTGCTGTAACAAAAGACCTGGGATTGGAGAGTTTACAAAGGAGCACAAGATTGAGAGGACTGTATCTGTGATTGTCTTCATGCAGTATCTCATCAGACTGGGAAAAGGAAGGACAGAACAGAGTGTGAATGCCCAAAAGACAAGATATTCGCCTCCATCTTCGGTTATTTTACAACAAGCACTGGTTTCTGTCATGAAGGCAGAGCTCGCGTGACCCAGCTATTTCGTTAGACCTCTGCCCACTAGCACTATGATAGTAGGAATTGAGTTTGCAACATGAACTTTTAGGAGACACGGTCAAGCAAGCCATAGCCCATCCCACAGCCATAGCTCTTCGCTCACCATAGGCTCATCTGTCTCCTTTCCATTACCTCCTGTTTCTTGCTCGGCTGTGTAGATAGAGCCAGGAGATGATGCCATCTCTGTCTTTGTTTCTCCAGTTTTGAAATGGGAATTCAGTTCGCGATGCTCAGGGCAGGCGTTTTTGGTTTTTTAGAGGGCACGAGGTCTTTGCGCTCACAGATAGGCACTAAAGGAACCAAGAGCATTAAACACACAAGGTTGTCTCTTCACAGGAAGATGGATGCCTCTTCTCTGCCCAGAAAGCTGGGAATGAATGTAGTTAATAGCCTGGTGACCTGTGCCATCCATAGGGTCAGGCCACACTTGAATCCCCCAAACTTATGTTTATCTCAGCCACATGGACTTTGTAAATAGCTTCAATGTAAATGTGTCTTAAACTTTGTTGTGCACACATTGGGCTAATTGTCATCCAGAAGCTTTTTCCAAAATTGTGCTTAAATAAGACGAAAGTAAACTGCCTGGGATCAGACTCTAGAAGTTTGAACCAACATGGGCGGCTGAGTTGTGCTGAGCTGGATTTCCTTCTTGGTTCATGTTACCCTACGCACCCCGGTGGTTGCAGTTTTTAAACACAGGCGGAGTTTTCAGTACAGAGTCTTAGTATAGACTCCATAGAAGTGCCCAACTTCACTGTGGACTCTGAGCAGAATGTGCCATGCCCAACTGTCAGTGTAAGATAGGAATATCTTTCCTGCCTGCCACAAAAGTGGAGAGGACCCCACGAGTTGGTGAAACTTAAGACACCCTTATAAAATGAGGTGATAGTGTCAGGAAGTGGAGAGTGGTCTTCAGAAAGCTTCGGTCTTGGCTTGCCCTCAGGACTGCGCCAGGAGGTGCTCGTGGGGAAGGACAATTCTTTTTAACTTCTCTCACGAAATCTCTGTGTGCAGAGACTGACGTCTGTGAGCAGGAGCCCGCGATAGGGACTTCTCAATTCTCAGGGACCCCTTTGAGGCATCCAGAATACCGCTCCCTATAGCTGATCCCCTCCCTGGCAACCCCCTCTCCCCACTCAGGATTCACAACATGCATCGTCACCAACAACTGGCTGGACGACAGTGACAAGCGGGGCAGCTTGGCACAGATGATGTGTAATCTGAGCCAGCACTTCGACTTCCTGATTGAGTCCTGTCAGGTCGGGCTGATCAAGCCTGAGCCTCAGATCTACAAGTTTGTACTAGAAACCCTGAAGGCCCAACCCAATGAGGTGAGTAGACACTCCCTTTTCAGGGGAAAGGGTGTCACAGAGATCTTGCAACAAGGGACTGATAGAGTTGACAGACTAGGGGTGCACTTGAGGCCTGGCAGCCTGGTCTTAGGCCCATCCCTCTTGTGTCCGGAGGGATGCTTTTGGCCATAGCTCTGTCTAGAATGTACCACTGATGTGGTCCTTTGTGTGGTATCAATGCCGTCAGATGATGTTAGAGCAGCTTCCCATGTTTACTGACATAGAAACAGAGACCCCAGAAGACTTGGCCAAGAACACAAAGCTAGTGATCAGGAGTGGGTCTCCTTCTGCCATAGTCTCCCTGTCCAAGCATCATGGCCTACTTGAATCCTTCTGTTTATTAAGGGTCCTGAGAGTCACTCTGCTGAAATGCTGTATTATGGTCACCTCCTCTCATCTTAAAGGCTGACTGGACTTAGGTCCCTCTCCTTCACGTACTGTCCTTTCCTCCTGCTGGACCCACCTCACCACAAGATGCTCAAAACAAACCTAGAGCTCCATCCCTGATGGGGATTGTCCTTCATCACCTCACCATAGAGCTGTCCTTGGAGTCATACGCAGGTGTTTCCTTCTGATGTTCTGCTCACACGAGATGCTGCCTCTGGCTGATGCTCATACTGTTTGGGTCCAGGTTGTTTTCTTAGATGACTTTGGGAGCAATCTGAAGCCAGCCCGAGATATGGGGATGGCCACCATCCTGGTCCGTGACACAGACACTGCTCTGAGAGAACTGGAGAAGGTCACAGGGACACAGGTAATTTTAGGTCTGGGCAGGGTCTGGCTTCCTGCCGCCCTTCTGGTGTTTGGGGAGAAGTCAGCAAGGAGACCAAGGTACTCTCTCAGTCCTCTGTGAGGGATTTGGGGGCAAAAGGAGTCCATTGCCCGTGGTTCAGGCAGTCCACATCCCTGACCAACATCCACCCATTTTTTTCTGTGTAGCCAGTGAGCAAAAGTTTAAACCGTCCTTTGGCAAGTCAGGAAACTAAGACAAGAAAAAGGCACTTACCAAGCCTGAGGACTGAATGTGATCTCTAGCATTCACATGGAATCTGGGCATGGTGGCACATGCGTGGAATCCCAGCACTGGGGTCAAGGAGACAGGCAAACCCTTGGAGCCCTGATCAGAGTCAAGTCAATCAATATACTCATATTCAGAGATGCTGGGATTTGGAAGTTTATCATATGAGCCTCAGGGGAAGACACAACTCAACTTATAAGATAACAGTTTACGTCTTTAATAAATAGATTTCTTTAATAAAATAAATGTAATTAATAAATAAAATGTAGACTAAACAACTGCATGACCAAGCTTGGCTTGTTCCTTCTATGCCTAGAAGTCTTACGAACAGAGTAGAAACTGGGGCTGACTTGATTCAAAGCACCCATATGTTTTTCTCCTTCACCTACTTTGTCTCCTACTCCCAGTGAGCTAGACACCCATCCTAAAAATTAGGAAGGTGAACCACACCATTTCGTTCTTCCCGTGGGTATGGGGAAGTGTGCTGTACGGTCCAGAGAATGATCTACTATAACCATACTTTGGGTTTTGAATGAGTGAGTTTATTAAGTATGTAGCAAGCCAAAGTAAAATAATAAATAGCAAAAGAAAGACAGACAGATATCAAAACATCACCAAATCAGGTACTCAAAACATCTAGCAGAAATCATCTGGGAAGTCCCTTTAAGGCAACCAATAGGAGTTTCTGATAGAGTCCCGGGCAGAGCAGAGTGCCCCCTGTGGTGAGGCTTCCGCATGAAAGAACAAACAGCAGAAAGGTGACATCATCAAATCAGGGGCTCGTTAATGTCCATCAGAGACCTTTTTGGGAAGACAAGGAAGAGAGCTGCAGTTCTCAGCTGAGCTTTCTCTCCGCAGCGGGTACCTTTACACCATGGTGTAGACAGCAGTGACCCTGTGTTGGAAGTGGTGTACCTTCTCACTAATGAAGTTTTCACTCTTGGGCTGTCTTCCTTCCCTTGGGCTTTTCTCTTCCCTCCCTGCCACAGAATTAGGGGCGTAGCCCAACCCCAGAGAAGGGGCTTTGGAGGACAGTTTGAGATAAACATGCTTGTGTCTGAAGTGGGGGTGGGCAGCTCCAGTCCAGGGGCCAGCTTCTCCGTGAACTCAAACAATAGTTGACAATTTCCCACTGTAATGTACATCACAGGAAGCTACAAGGGAGGGTCACAATCATCTCCCTGTCTCCAGTGCTTCAAAGTTGTGGTAAAATACCTTAACATAAAGTTTACTATCGTAGTCATTTCTTAGCAAGCAATTCAGAGGCATTAGGTACGTTCAGAACAGTGTGGAGCCCAAAACCTTGTCCCATTAAATAATGACTCACATGGCCCTCCCAATATACACTCTGCTTTCTGTTTCTATGAGTCTAATTTCCAGATGCCTCTGATATGTAGACTCACACAGTGTGTGACTTCTCATTTCTAGCTTGTTTCCCTTGGTGTAGTGTCTTTAAGATTCATCTAAAGTGCAGTATAACCCGGGTGGGACTCACTTTCTGAGTTGTTCTCTCTGACAAGGGGGACTAGATTCCAGAGTTTAAGCCCCCCCCCCACTTTAGAGGACAGGAAAGAGAGTCACGAAGGACGGCTTTCTTAGGTGGGCCCTGCACTCGAGATGGAAGGTGTAGCTTGTGCAGTCGGGGCTCAGTCATTAGGAGACTGCCTGGCCCATGTGCATGTGCTCAGTAGCTCACCCTCTGCTATTGATGCTTTGGGAACTGACACTAGTAAGGTAAAGAAGGGAGTATTCTGGAACTTTCCTCCATACATAGATGTTATCCAAAGACAGGTCAGGGTCTCTAGAGGACAAGGACAAGGCCCAAGACACAGGCTGTTACAGGATGGGCTCTCTGAAATTCATATACTGAAAGAGCAATGCCCAGTATCTCAGAATGTGATTGGATTTGAACACAGAGCCTTAGAAGAGGTGATTAAGGCAACAGACGACCAGAAGGGAGAACAGCAACCTGATATGACTGGTATTTTCATGTAAGAAGTAGAAACTAAGCCACAGGCCCCCAGAGGGACACATGAGCACACAGAGGGAGATAGCTATCTATAAACACAGAGGCAGATCTCAGGAGAAACTAACTGGCCCTGTTAACACCTTTCAATCAAGACTTCTGTCCTCCCAAACTGAGGAGATAGCAGTCTGTTGTTGAAAATGCCCAGTCCGGAGAACTCTACGGTGGGCACTTGAACAGCTGAAGACAGGCACAGAGTTGGGCTGCAGCTGACTAAAGAAAGACCCCCGCCCCGCCCCGCTGACAGAGCATCACAGAGAGACAGCAGCTGTGCCTGGACTGAGCCTGGGCTATCTGAGGACTTCTGTGAAGCATGGACTGAAACCATAACAATTTATAAGTCTGTGTTTCTCTGGCTCATATAACATTCATTTGGGAGCCCCAGGGCCTTTGTGGAACACAGCCAGTCATTAGAGGGCCTACTCTCCTCCACTGGGGGCGCTTTCAAAATCACACACATTGCCCAGTTGAAAGATGGGAGATGAGATACTGTAGAGAGTCATATGTGGGTTTTCCTGGCTTAACCAGGGGGCTATGAACTCCTATTTGCATTCCACTGGCCGGAACTCAGTCACAAGGCTCCATGGACAGAGACAACTCATGGAGTCCAGCCGTGCCCAAACTGGAGGGGATTGGTTCATGAGAACCACCAGGACGCATTCAGGAGGGGTGGCAGAGGTGATGTCTTGGGTCTCACATTGTGCCCATCATACTTTCAGTTTCCTGAGGCCCCTCTGCCAGTCCCCTGCAATCCAAATGACATCAGCCACGGGTATGTAACCGTAAAGGTAAGTCAGCCATGTTCTCTCTGACCACAGCACGTAAAATGGTATGCGGAATAGCAAGGGCCATGTATGTGGAATAGCAAAGACCATGTATGTGGAATAGCAAGGACCGTGTGTGCGGAAAAGCAAGGGCTGTGTATGCGGAATAGCAAGGGCCATGTATGCAGAATAGTAAGGGCCGTGTATGCGGAATAGCAAGGGCCGTGTATGTGAAATAGCAAGGACCATATATGTTGACTAGCAAGGGCCATGTATGTGAAATAGCAAGGGCCATGTATGTTGACTAGCAAGGGCCATGCATGTGGAATAGCAAGGGCCATGTATGTGGAATAGCAAGAGTCGTGTATGCAGAATAGCAAGGGCCGCTGAGTCGTCAGTGCACAGATAGAAAAACAGAAGAGAACAAAGCACGGTGAGTGGCCGGAGCCCCTGTTGCAGCATTCATGTCTTCTGATGGGCCAGGACTCAGTCCTATGACCACATCACTATTGCCAGGGGGAGGCATGTCTAGAAAATGCCAGCATGTGCCAGGGAGAAGGGATAATGCAGATGTTAAAAGCCCTTGGGGTCATCTTGCCAATAGAGTCACCCTAAAGGACTGCACAAACAATTCCTATTTAAGAAGCAAACCTCTGGGGAGGGGAGACAGCTCAGTGAGTAGAGCACTTACTGTGTAAGCCTGAGTTCCAGGTAAGACACGGAGCTAGGCACGATGGTGTGTGTTTGTGATCACAATCGCTGGGAGGCAGAAACAAACAGATCCCTGGGGCTTGGTGACCAACAAGGATAACCTGTTTTGTGAGTTCCAGGTCAATGACAGATTCTGTCTCAAATTAAGTAAATAAGGTAGACAGCTCTAGAAAGTGTGTCTTAGTTACTACTCTGTTGCTGTGATAAAATACCATGACCAAGGCAACTTATAGCAGGCAGAGATTATTTGGACTTACAGTGCCAGAGAGTTAGAGTTTTTGATAGTTGTCAAAGGTAGGGCAGCAAGTGGCTGGAGCAGCAGTTGAGAGCTCACAGCTTGATCCACAAGCAGGACATGGAGAGAGCATGCTGGGAATAACCCAAACCTCTGAAACCCCAAAGCTTACCCTCTGTAACACCTCCTAATCCTTCCCAAGCAGTTCCACCTACTGGGGACCAATTAATTAAAAACATGGGCCTCTGGGGGTTCTTGACCACCACAGAAAGATACTCAAAGTTGACCTCTGGGTGTTAAACATGCATACATGCACATGTTCTCTTGCATACATGCCCATACACACACACACACACACACACACACACACACACACAGACACACACACACGAAGCAAATAGTTTCTCATAAAATAGACAGTATTCTACACATTGCCAAAGAGGAAGCTACACTGTTTTGATTCTGTTTGCTCCCAACTGCGTAATCTTTTCACATTGTAGAGAAAACTGCCTGGCGTGTCACCCACATGGGTCACTCACAGTCCCCAGCCATTGTTACTTAGCCCTTGAGTCTCAAGGTGAGGTGGCTGAGTCAGGCAAGGTCTGGCTGTCCCTTGCAATGGCTTCTGGGATAGCAGCTACATAAGTGAGCCCTGTTCTTCGTACACTGGCGTCAAGATTATTATCACTCCCGACTCTCTTTCACAGCCTGGGAGCCATCTGCATTTCGTGGAGATGGGCTCTGGCCCCACCGTGTGCCTCTGCCATGGGTTTCCTGAGAGTTGGTTTTCTTGGAGGTACCAGGTAAGGGAAACTGTGGAATGTGCTCCCCAGTTGGGGTGAGGAGAGAGAGATGCTGTGGGCTAGCATGGGGTGTTGTGGATGAATCATCTCCAAATTGTGACCACAAGGTCTCAACAATGAAGGGTGTAGGAAGTGCCTTGGGGCCGTACTGATCCTCAGGCCACTTCCCGAGGACATTCTTCACCTCTTGCTGGGAAATCTTAGTAATGAACACAGAAATTTGCAAGGGCTTTGTCAGAAAAGATATTCTGCTCAATGTGGCTTTGATGCATTGTCTATGGTAGGTTTATGAGATGGGCTCCCTCTAACTCCATGGGAAGGAGACTAATAGGTGCCACATGGCACTTTGGGTGGATCCATTTGCAAGAGAGAGGGAGGAAGGGATGCAAACAAGGAGACCAGCAAAGGACTGGCAAGGCCACACTGCCAGGCCGTTGGACTGTTTTGTTTTTCAGATCCCTGCTCTGGCCCAGGCGGGCTTCCGGGTTCTGGCTTTAGATATGAAAGGCTATGGCGACTCATCATCCCCTCCAGGTGAGCTGACTATCCCACAGACGTCCTGTGTGGTCATGTTTCTCTATTTGGCATCTCTAGCGCCCCCCCCCCCCCCCAGCTCTCCAGTCCCCTTCCCCCGAGCTTGCCCTGTCCAGGTTGAGCACATGTAATGAGCCCTGATCCTCTCCTGCAGTGTTCTGTCTCTTTGGGCTTGGATCACAACTGCTCTGTACACTCTGAGGGACCCAGGAGGCCCACAGGCCCTGGCCAGAAGCAGCCCTCTGCTGATCATCAGGGATGTGGAATGTACCATCTATTTCTAGAAAGATCTTTCTCTACCTAACTGAAAGACCAGATTCAGCTCCTCAGTGTTTCTTCCCCTCTGCCCTGGCCACACCTATTCTCTCCATGAAGGTGGCTGCTCTTGATACCTTGTGTCAGTGGGCTCACAGGATAGCTACCCTTTCAGGACTGGCTGATCTCATCTAGTATGGCGCCTTCGGTGTTTATCGGATTGCAGCACCGCCTTTCTTTCAGGATGAATGCTCTCACAGAGTACAAACCACCATCTGCCAGTGACCAAAAAAATACCAGGTTACCTCATCTTTTGGTTCCTTTGAATAGCACTGCTCTGGACATGGGTGTGTGTACGACACCTGCACACCCCTGCCTTCTGTTCTCTAGAGATGCTGGATTCGCATCACTTGTAGGTCAGGTCTGAGCCCTATGGCTCCAGAACCCAAGAGTAAACCTTACATAGCCTCTCAACCCAGAGACCATTTGTAGGTTTTTGAGCATTTTCCTGGTAGGAAGAGGTCTTCATTCTTATCAGGTTCAAGTGAGTTCTTAGTCCAGAGGTCTGCAGAGCCCAGGTGTGGAGGCAGGGGCCTGATGCAGTCAGGCAGGAACACAGCTCTTCCAAAGGACAGTGATGCTGTTGACAGCTGGGCTCCCTAAGCCGCTTCCCACACCTCTAACTCCAGTGATCACATCCAGCATGGCGGGCTCCCGTGACTGAAGCCTGCTGACCTAGGCTGGGGCTCTGGCCACTCACTGGACCACCCTCCAGGTCCCTTGACATGTTGTCCTGGAGTGAGTGGCGGGTTGTTCCCTAAGTGTGGCAATGTCACACTCAGTGACTCTTGCTCCTGAATGACAGAAACTGGACTGTAGACTCAAGGGCCCAAGACTTGAGTGGAGCCCAGGGACATCCGCTTTTCAGTTTTGGTGATGAAAATACTGGCTTTTAACTTAGGACAGTCTGCCGAGAAGGGCACTGCAACATCACAGTCTTAACAGAGCTTATGAAAAGTGAAGGATTACAACTTTTATTGATTGATTTTGTTATTTTTCTTACATTTTCGCCATTTGGGTTTATTTTTTTTTTGAATCTCTTTTTCTTTATGCTCACTGGAATCGCTGATTGGTTTTAAAAAGAGCCGCTCACTCCCCAGAGCAGTCTCCAGGACATTGTGGCTCTTATCAAAAGTTCAATGGCTTCTTTTCCCCCAAAACAGAGATTTGCTGTGTAACTTGGTTGGCCTTAAATTCACTCCCTGGCTCTGTCTCCCAAGTGCTCCATGGCATACTTTTAGACAGAAATAAAGAGATTCTACAATTCATGCAGAGCAACACAAATCCAAAATGAAATGAATGCATTTTGAGAAAAAACACAAAAATGTAGGGATTTGAAATCAAATGTGATTTCAAATACTATTCTAAGTTCACAGAAGTTAAGCAGTGTGATACCAGAATGAAGACAGAGGTCCAGACAAGTAGAGCAGACTAAAGAGCTCAGAAGTAAACACACACACACACACACACACACACACACCACACACACACACTGTTAACCGGTCTTTGACAAGGGTGCCAGGACCACACCACAAGGAGGGCCTAGGTCTTCAATAGTGACAGTGAGGAACACCCAACAAAATCAAATTGGGCTTTTCTCTTTTATGATGTTCAACACCCAACTCAAAATAGACTTAAAAAGTAAACAGAATCAATATATTGGGACGGTTTTGGCTTTCGATTTGTTTGTTTTGGTAAAAGGAACTTTTGTTTATAAATTTAAAAATCACATTATATATCTCTGTGGTGTGTGTATATGTGTGTGTGTGTGTGTGTGTGTGTGTGTGTGTGTGTGTGTGTGTGTGTGTGTTTTAAGACAGAGTCTCGCCGGGCAGTGGTGAGGCACACTTTTAATCCCAGCACTCAGGAGGCAGAGACAGGCAGGTCCCTGTGAGTCTGAGGGCAGCCTGGTCTACAAGAGCTAGTTCCAGGAGAGGCACCAAAGCTGTTTTGAAAAGAAAAAAAAAAGACAGTCTCATTAAATAGACCAGAAGAGCCTTAAATTCACAGAGATCTGCCTGTGTCCTCTCCTTAACACTGGGGATTATGGGTATCTACAAACATGCCTGGCTTTTGTTTACTTGTTTGTTTATTCATTCATTCATTTCTAATTACAGAGATAGAGGAATATGCCATGGAAGTGTTATGTAAGGTAAGAAGCCTCTTCAGTAGCATCTACAATGCCATGTCCATCCTGAGTTTCTCCCTGGCATAAGCCAGAAACTTGGGTGTCCATTTAAACCAAAAGGAAGTACAATATGCAATATTTGGGTATTGACTCTCACTGAACATGAACATGAAGGTGATAGTTCTAAATGTTGGCCAACATGCATGAAGCATAAAAGGTGATTCCCAAATACAACAGGACAGCCTAAGGTTGCTGCCCAAGGTTGACAACCAGTAGATCCAGATTTGAAACCTTCCACACTCCACTCTCCATCCGATTCTGAGAGTCTTCAGTCAGCAGTCTGCATGTAAACCGTGGCTTCTCTGCCACAAAGCTCAAAGGAAAGCCCAGCTTCTAGGTTGGACTGTTCTCCTGCCTGTTTCCCAGCTGTGATTCTCCTCCTATTCCCGATCTTGCTCAGGTCTCCCCACCAAATTCCCAGTCACTCACTTGAGGAGCTTCTCGCACCCCACCCCTTTCCCCTCCCCTTATTTCTGCTGGAATCTGTTCTCAGCGGGTGCACTGGGGTGCTTCACAGAACCGCGTTCCTGCATGGGGTCCTGAGACCAAAACAAACAAGGTGAAGAGAACAGTTCCTGTCCTTCTGTCCTTGAAGTATCACTAGTACATCTGCTACTAGGAACTAGCCCAAGAGACCCGATGATGAGAAAACCCAGACTCCACTATTCACAGCAACCCCATTCATAGTACCTAAAGTGGGAACGATCCAAACACCATCTGCTAATGAATAGACGGGTTCTGTGCCATGATCCATGCCCCGGAAGGATGCATGAAGAGCAATGGTGCAGTGGAGCATATCCCCACATGAGTGAGTCTGGAAGCTACAACGTCAAGCAGAAGCCAGTTACAAAGGCCACGGACCAATTAACTGCATCTGTATGGAGTGCTCAGAACAGGCAATCCAGGCGGAGCTCAGCTTAGTGGCTGCCAAGACGCAGGGGAACGAGAAAAGAGAGTGATGCCTGATGGGTTAAGCCTAAAGGGAAGTGTAAAACATTTATGGCCATGAAAACTTTCTAATACTGGATGGTGGTGACAGTTTCACAAGTCTGATTACACTAAACCCACTGAAGTGTGGTCTTTGGAGAGGTTAATTAAATGGTATGTGACTTATATTTGTAATGCTCTTTTTAAAAAGTCGCCACAATAATTTAAACATAAAATTGTATTTTAAAAGATGACACTGGTTTCAAATACACGGTTAGAAAAATCATGGAGTTAAGACCATAACATCGCTTGTCTTCAAGTGCCCGGAAAACTTTCTCATCATAACTCCCCAAATATTTTGCAAAACAGTTTCCCTCAACTATAACTCCTAAATCTGGGTGGCAGTTCATCACATAACTCTTAGTTTTTCTGAAGCTGGATTCTGCTCTTATTTAATTTTTAATTGACAGGTAATGTGTTTTGTCATGCATAACAAGACGCTTAATATCCTCTGCAGAACGGTCACATCTAGGTAACTGACAGAGGCGTGACCTCACACAGATGCATAACGAGGTGTTTTGATGTTTAATATCCGTTCTGCAATGATCACAGCTAGGTACCTGACAGGTGTGACCTCATGCCATCATCATTTATGCTGGCAGCACATGACATTCACCCGACATCTTTCAAGAATATGTCACCACTAATTATAGTCACTTTGCTATGGAGTAGGGCTCTTGGAGCCCGTCTCTCCATCTCAGATTGTAATTATTTATCCCTTGATCAATCCTCCTTGTGTCCACTGTTTCTGCCTCTGCTAGCCGTCCTCCAACACTGCCTTGTAGATAACTGCCCTAGACCCTGTAAGAATGAGCTCACACGCTACCTGCCTCTCTCCACTGGCTCATCTCATTTAGCACTACGTTCTCCATGATGCTACAAATAACTTGGTTCCACCCTTTTGTGTCTGACTCGTGCCCCTTTGTGTATGGGCTCCTAATTTTCTGCATTTTTTACTAGCCAGTGGACATTTAGGTTGATGCCATCTTTTGGCTTCCATTATTGTGCTGCAATAAATATGAGTGGTTTTTATTTCAGATTGGGAGTCTTTGTTCTGCCCATAAACCTCCTACATATTTATAGTCTTGAGATTCCAAATTGAGAATTCTGGATGCAACATAGCAATAATATTTTTTAAAGTTCAGTGGTGTTTGGAGATGTGTCTACACCCAACTGACCCTTATATTGGGGGGGGGGCTTTTGGTGTGGGATTTAACCGTTGTAGGTCTTGCTGTCAGGTGTAAGATGCAGTGGCTGACTGGGGCTGTATATTTTCCAATATTCCTTAAGATTTGAGAAGGATTCTCAGCTCATGGAGTCTGGAGAGGACATTGAACTCACTGTAACCCTCTCCGATGAGCTAAGGTGTGAAAAGGTGTTTCCTGTAGTTCAGCAGGGTGTGTTGCCCATGCTGTTGTGATCTCTTGGAGCCTCTGAGTTCCTAGAAGTGAGGGCAGATTATGAAGTGGTGTTCATGTGTGCTTCCCTGGGAGAGAACCCATGGTTTCTATCAGTGACTGCAAGAGGTCTCGGTAGACAGAGGGAAAGCTGCGGTTCGGGAAAGGGCTGGGGGGCTCTCATGACATGATCTCCCCACTGACAGCCCGTCGCTTTAAAATGGCATTTTCCCGAGGCTTGTCCTGACAGTGTGTGGCTGTGGCAGGCTGTTTCTGTCCACCCTGCCCATCTGATGCCGAGTCTGTGCTCTGTTTTTAGGAGATGGTGTCCTTCCTGGATAAGCTGGTGAGTCTTTCCTTTGAGCTCATCTCTCTGGAGCATTCTGTGTGGATCTCGGTAATGAAAGGAGAGCTGGATGCCTCGGAGGGTTGGCTGTTGATGACAGTGAACAGAGAGGACCAGGGCAGGGGGAGACATGGGCTTCAGGCAGCAGGGGTAAGGAAGGGGTGGTCCCAAAATTAAAGATAGCCAAGGGTGTTTTGCTATTCATTCAAGAAAGTGAAGGGAGATGCCTTTGTTGGCTTCCATCCAGGGAAGGGAACCTTGAGTATCAAGGAAAGGTGTGGGAAAATAACCTATAAGCTACTTCTTCACAGTTCATTGAAACTCAAATCTCTTCTGACAATCTCAGATCAAATTTAGTCACAGGAGTGAGAGTGGCCATGGCCACCCTGTAGCAATGTACTATTCCCGAGATGGCTCTGCCACGCCCTCTGCCTCATGGCATTAGGCTGGAAGGGAATGCAAATATCATAGGGCAGACTGGAGAGAAGGAATAGTCTAGGCTAATGGCAATGGAGAGAGAGAACAGAGAGGCCCCAGAGCAGCGGGGCCTAGCTTATTAACTGGATATAAGATGGAGAGAAAGCCGAACGACTGAGTTCTGGTTCAGCAGTAGGCACTGTGCAGGAAACGGGGGAGGACGATGGCTGTCTGCACTCCATGGTATTGAGTCAGGAAGTGCTGTCTGTGCCTTATGTTTGGGCATATGTGTGTGCGTGCGTGCAAGAGGGAGAGAAGGAGAGAGAGAGAGAGAGAGAGAGAGAGAGAGAGAGAGAGAGAAGGAACTTGTGGCTAGTGGTCCTGTCTTCTAAGGAAATTCAAGTCTAGTCATTTGTGGAGACCGAGGAGGGTGTGTGTGAGAGAGGTGGAGCTAATAAGGACACATGCCTCAGAGGAGTCTCTGGGGATTCCAGGTGGAGTCACTAGGCTGTCAAGAAGGGGACTTCGCATCTCAGAAATCCACCCTCATCGTGTCTCTTCTTGTTTCTCTAGGGGATCCCTCAAGCAGTGTTCATTGGCCATGACTGGGCTGGTGTGCTGGTGTGGAACATGGCTCTCTTCTACCCTGAGAGAGTGAGGTAAGCAGCGGAAGGATTGGCAAAGCTGGCTGGACTTAGAGTCCTGCGTGAACTGCTACAGGCGCCTTGGCTCCACACAACAGCGCCTTGTGGGAGCACAGGGCTGGCTCTGAGTAGATAAAGGAGTGATAAGGGGTGATCGTGTCCCAGCATTAAACAGAAGAAGAGCGTTCACCCTGGACCAAAAGTGAGAAAACGTGCCCTTTAAGTGGTGTTGTGGTGCATGGCCTATGATTCCAGCAGTTAGGAGGCTGAAGCAGGAGGATTGTGAGTTTGAGGTCACCCTAGGCTACAGAGAGAGTAAGGACCAGAGAGGCTTTCAATTCTGTCCTGAAGTGACCATATGACAATTCATGCCACCTCCTAGTCCTTTGTCTCTTCAACTACAAAACTACAAGCACAACTCTCCTCCCCCATCCCTACTCCTTCCTTCCCCCTCTCTCTCCTGTTTCATTTAAACTGAAAATAAGAGTTTGATTCTTGTCTTAGTTAGGGTTTCCATTACTGTAAAGGCACACCATGGCCAAGGCAACTCTTATAAAGGAAAACATTTAATTGGGGCTGGATTACAGTTCAGAGGTTTAGTACACTGTCATCAGGGTGGGAAGCATGGCAGCGTGCAGGCAGACATGGTGCTGGAGAAGGAGCTGAGAGTTCTCCATCTGGATCCACAGGTAGCAGGAAGAAAAAGTGAGCCACCAGGCCTGGCTTGAGCCTCTGAAACTTCAAAGCCAGCCCCCAGTGACACACTTCCTCCAGCAAACCCACACCTACCCCAACAAGGCCACACCTCCAATAGTGCCTCTCCCCGAGCCTACGGAACCATTTTCATTTAAACTACCACAATTTTTAAACAATCAGATTCACCAAAAAGTTACTATATGAGCACATTACATGCTGTTGAAAACAAACCAAGGGGATACAGCCGTGAGCAGGATGTATGGCTTAAGGAAGGTCATACATGCTATTTTTCTCAATTTAGTCTCTTCCCAGCAAACATTTAGAAACATTTTACTGGCAGAAAGGAGGTTTCTCCTGAATAACATCAGACCTGAGACTTCCCAGTATGCCCTGGTCTCGAGGTCCCCCTTGTTCGGTCTCAGGCATTCCCACCCTTAGTTCTGTAGGGAGATTGCTTCCAATCACTCCCAGAAAGGGGTGTGTGTGTCCCCATATGTATGGGTGTGTCTAAGGCAGGTAAGTTAAAAATAAAAGCTACAGATGAATGGGAAAACCTTACTAGGTTAAGAATGAAAACACCCGAGTTCTAATCTCGTTCTCCCACTCACGGCCAGAGTGCGACCTGCGCGTGTCGTTTCCCACGTCACCTTCAGTTTTGGCCTGACATGTCCTTTCTGAGCCACGTCTGTCTCAACAGGCTCTTTGTTTTGGTGTTGCTTATTCCTGCAGAGCCGTGGCCAGTCTGAACACTCCGTTCATGCCACCAAATCCTAAGGTGCCTCCTATGGAAGTTATCAAATCTATCCCGGTTTTCAATTACCAACTGTACTTCCAAGAACCAGTAAGTGTGGGACGCCAATGTTGTTGCCTCTCTCCTCTCCTCTCCTCCCCTCCCCTCCCTTCCCCCCTCCCCTCTTCTCTTCTTCTCCCTCTCCCCTGCCCTCTTTCAGTTTAGCTCTGCCCCTTAAATATTCTGAGGCATTAATTAGAAACATAGAAATGACATTGCAAACAGGCTCAGGCTTCCTGACCACAGGTCCAGTAGGTCCTTTGTGAGTAGGTGAACATGTCTCTGTGTCTGTCTGGGTAGCG